GAACCTCTGTGGATCCAGCAGGGAAAGCGCTGGGTTCTCCAGGAGGGGTGGCAGCGTCCTCTGGGACCCAACAGGGTGCGTCCACGTGGCTTCACTAGGTGGCAGCAAGTCCTCTCCTTTTAAAGAGACTTGACGGGTCGAGGTGAGGAGCTTCTGCTGGGAAACACAGCCGTGGTGCTCACAGCAAGGGCACGTGGCCAGCGTTCCCTGCCACACGCTGTGCCTGTGGCACTTCTGGCCGGGAGTGGGGGGGTCACCTGCCAGGCTTTCACCTCCAGTCACACTTCTCCTTGGACCCACGGCACAGGGAGCGCATCCCCCAGGCTCAGCACGCTGGAGAAGCTCCAGGGAGCCCACTTCCCCAGGCAGCTGTGAGGGCCCCTCTGCCCGCCTCCTTCCCTTCCACACTCTTCCTGTGACAGCTCGCATCTCCTCTCTCTGCAGGACGGTGGGATCCGTCAACAGACGGAAACATGTTCATCCCGTCACAATGACGCTTTCCCCAGGGGCCCTCCAGGGAGGGGCTGGTTCCCAGCCAGTCAATGCTGGAAGGGTGGCTTACTAGGAGTCTGGACTCCCTGCACACACGTCCTCCCCTGGGAAACACGCTCTGTGGGGGGAGGGGGCTGCCCTGGGGCAGGTGGTTGGTGGCAGGAGGTCGAGGGGGAAATGGAACTGGAGACAGGAAAGCAGCAGTGTGGCTGGCTGAGTGGAAGGGGAGTAGGAGGAGGCTTCGGAGCCCCGTTCAGCTCAGGCCTTCCCCCACACGGCGTGGGAGCCCCTGGAAGGCTCTGAGCTGAGGGCCGACTGCGGCTGGATTTTAAAGGCCCACCCAGTTTGCTTCCTTGCATGTAGGTTTTGGTGACAGACAGGGACAAAAGCAGGAAAACTACTTAGGAGCTGTTGTGATCATCTGAGTGGGAGATTGAGCCACAGTAAGCAAGCACAAGTGGCTGTCAGCATGAAGTGATTGGATTCTGGCAGTTTTGAGACAGAATCAACTGACTCTGGTGATAACTGGACTCAGCGTGTAAGGGGAATGCCAAGGGAGACGTTAATGAATAAGTCTTGCGTCCTGTGTTTAGTTCAATTTTGCAAATGTTTGTTTTCTACTCTGCGTCTCTGGCTGCGTATGAGGCACGGCACCAGCAGGATGCAGGCCTCCCTGCCAAGAGCCTGTGCTCTGGAAAGAGGCGGACATGCCAATAAAGACCAGACCCACGTGAAGTCTAATGATCAAAGTGTGCCCGAGTTCTGACAGTGGGGCTGCCACTGTCACCATGAGACCGAGATGGAAGTCATTCTGCCGGTGATGGACAGAGGAGGGTTTCCTGGGTGTTCTGAGGGGGATGGGGTGCTCCGGGAGAGGACCCTGCAGGAGGGAGGCCCCAGGAAGGAGGCTGGAAGCACACTGGGTTGGCTGGGATGACCACACAGCGGGGAAGAAACGGCGCTGGGTAGAGCGGATGATGGTGGGTTTTGGGGCCCAATCCTGCCTGGACCTTGCTTGAAAGACAGCAGGGACAGGTTTTGTGCTTTGAGGCAAACCTGTCACCACATTGCCCCTGCTGGCCTCCAGCTCCTGGCTCAAGTGATCTTCTGCCTCATCCTCCCAAGTCRATGGGACTACAGGTGCGTGGCTACACCTGGCTCAGGGAAGGTTTCCAATAGGGTTTCTTGTGATCAGAACAAGTTTTATAAACTTATAAAACTTAAGCATAATAGACTCATTAAACTTATAAGCTCAGTCTGGCAGCATGTGGAAGTAGTCAGAGGAGAAGGGAGAGGCGGGAAACAGCTGGAGGTCACTGTAACCATGGCAGCGAGGGGGTGGCACCTGCCTGTAATCCCAGCACAGCAGGAGGATCACAAGTTCAGGGCCAGCCTCAGCCACCTAGGGAGACCCCCACACACACAGGGCTGGGGACCAAGTTCAGGGTAAAGTGCCCCGAGTTCAATCCCCAGTACCAAAAGAATAAAGAGGAGAAAGCTGAGAACCTGAATGGAGCCTAGCGGAGGAGGGACTGGGGGCTGGGGACCCAGTGCCTCAGTGAATGAGGAGGGAGCAGACCGCAGGCCGGGGACGCCGGCCCATCCACCAGAGCCAGGAGTCTTGGGAAAGTGAAGACCTTGGAAGAGGAAGGAAGTGGAGGGGTGGTCCGGCCATGTGGGCGTGGAGGGCTCCAGAGGTGGAGATGTGTGGAGGTTTCAGAGAGCCTGGGTGGACTGTGGGGCGGGGCAGAACACGGGTGCTCAGCCTCAAGGTCAAGGCCCCAGGAAGCCGCAGTGTGGGAATCTGCCCCATGGGCGGGCACCAAAGTCACCTGGGATGGTGGCAGACGTTGGGTTCAAGGGAAGGAGCGTGCCTGGTGCTGGCTGAACCTGGGGCAGTGAGCAGGATCTGACATCACTAAGCAGAACAGGACTGGGAGCCCCTGGAAGGCGTGCACAGGAGCGTGTGAGCCAGGTGCCCGTGGGCACCAGGAGTGTGCTCTCACACCTCCGGGGCCCGCTGTTCATGTGGGAGGGCTGCTGAGACCCCCGAAGGCTGGGACAGGCAGTGGACAGTGTGTGTCGGTGGTCAGAGGCAAGGAGAGAAGCTCGTCTTCATCAAGGACTTGTAAAGTCACCTGCTCCAGAAACCAAGAGCCGTCTTTTCTGTTGCATTAAGGTTTCCAGGGAATCACAACAGACGGTTGTACTGACCGCATAGTATTTAATATGATCAGGTCTTAAATAAGAAGACAGGAGCATAAACAATTAAAATGAAATATATAATAAATAATCATTAAGTTATAAAGTACATAGTTTATATTAAAACTAAATTCTCAGATGCAAATGTAAATACAGAAGAGCAATAATATAGAATAATAATGCTACAATTTTATACAAGAGTCCAGAGAAGACAGTTTCACCTAAAATAGTCAAAATTCAGATTGATCTTCCTTGAACTCCAGGACCTACAGCAGAGTTTCCCCTCTGTGCCTTTCCTCTCAGGACCTTTTTCTGTTCCTACAAATGGTATTGGGATCACGCTGAGCACCGGAGCATCAGGCTCTGCTGGAGTTGCGCTGCCAGGCTGGTCCCTGCTCCTGCAGGAGCGCCCAGAACTGGAGAGACTCGCGTGGCCACAGCTCTGCAGAAGACAGCAGCCCCTGGGGACTGAGTCCAGCGCCCTGGACGTACACAAGGAAGTGGAAATCCTCCGAGTTAACCAGTGCCCACGGATGCAGGTGTCCCGCGTCACTGTCCCCAGGTGAGCGGTGGTGTCTGTGGTTCTCCTCCGTCCCCTCTGGACGGGCTTCCTGAAGGCGGCACTGCAGAGGGCAGCACTGCCTCTCCTGGCGCTGGGGCTGTGCTGAGCCTGAAGGTCGAGGTCCTCAGCCAGCCCCGAGAGTCCTGCTCCCTTTTAGAGTGAAGAGCCTGGCCAAAAGGGCTAGGACAGATCTTTAACAGTAAACACACCAAAATAAATACATTAAATAGAACATCACAATGTCAAGAAGTCAGCAAGTATAAAGCCCAAACCCAAACACAGTCTGGGTCTTTCCCGCGCTCCAGGGGGGCTGCATCCCTGGCCCCTGCCACTCTTGGCTCTGCCCGGCAGCCTGGGTGGCACCCCGGAGGCTCAGCAGGCTGCTGTGGCCATCCCAGGCCACGCTCCCACAGTCCCTCGGGATGGCATATTCTAAAGGCTTAGAAAAGTGACTCATTTCTGACGATAAAGCACTTGAAGGAGCTTTCAGGAAAGAACCATGCTGGACGCACCTTTCCAATCTGAATCTGTCTGGAAAACACTTCCAAGTGGACAAGTTTTCTTCTCAGAGTGTAAGGCACTCCCACCTCCTGCTCTCGCATGCTCAGAGCCACTGAACGATAAGAAATTCTCAAATAGCTTATACCAGTCTCGCGGAAATTTTATTTTTCTAGAGTTTTTAACTTGCTATTTAAACACACTCTGCTGAAATTGATATGAAAGATCAGTTGGAGCAGATATCTTGTTTTTACAACTCTTGACCAAAAGATGGGAAAGTTTACTGGAAAGCCTGAGACAGGCCTCCCGGCCACTTTGTCTCCTAGCTTTGAGTTTGTGTCAGTGACTGAATTTGTCTTCTCCAAAGYGAACTCAGAGTCTCTAACACGAGAAACCTGTTCTGAAGTATACTCATCACGTAAGTTTCATTTTAAAACGGAGAAAGCAAAGATGGAGGAGGGAGACCTCTGGAGTTACTGAGTCCCCTGTAGTATGACCGCACCATCTGAGAGCCAGGAGGCCACCAGTGCCTGTCCCTCGGCAGAGTTCACTTGACATGTTTGCACACCTCAAAGGCCACGTATATTTCATAAATACATTCATAACTATAGAATTTAAATATTTTTGACAGAACTATAAAAAAGCAGGATTTTTTTGGTCCCCATCTGGTAAATCTGTCCCCTGATACATAAATAAGTTACATATTTATTTGTTAGGCACTTTGAAATAAAACGTAAAACATCTTCAGATAGGCATTTTTAAACATTCAGTTTACATTTCCTTAGAAGAATACAGATTTCAACTTTTCATTTTGATCCTGTGCTTCTCTATGTTCAGCTTGAATGAAGGCATGCACTTTTAAGGTATGGTCATGACAGAACCCATTCTTGTGGTAATCAACACTAAAGTTAACGGAAGATCAATAAATTCTTGAGGAATATTTTTGGTTAACAATTTTAGCCTTCTCCGTCAGCCAAGGAATGTCACCGTTGGGCAGTGAGATAAAGTAAAAATGCAGAAGCCATAGAAACCCATGACCTGGGAAGTCAGACTCCTGGCCCTGAAGTGTGGCATACTAATTTAGGGGAAGATCCTAGCTTTGCACACTTACTGAGGTCTTTTCCCACACTAATGGACTGCACTTCTGCTCCCAGAGTACCAAGAAGTGAGTCCGCCTGCTGTTAGAGTGTGTAACGAAGCGCCCAGCTCCAAGTCAGGTCTCCAGGAACCTTCTTCTGCCTCGTGTCTAGGGAAGATGCTGGTGGACCATCTGTGGAGAGAGTGTGCCGTGAGCACTCGACCTGAGAAGCACTCGGTTAGACGCAGACCCAGGACGGCCGCAGGGTGATTTAAGGAAGATACCTTTTGGAGAAGCGACTTCAGTCTTTCCAGAAATTCCTTAGGTGGTTTCTTCTCATAGGAGTCACATGAAGGGCATGTCTAGAAATCAAGGAAGAGCAACATTCTTCTTTAAAACCCCTTCCTACTGAATAAAGTGTTTATTTAGAATTTATTTTCCAGCCGGGCTTGATGGCACAGGCCTGTAATCCCAGTGGGTCAGGAGGCTGAGGAAGGAGGATCATGAGTTCAAAGCCAGCCTCAGCAACTCAGCAAGGTCATAAGCAACTCAGCAAGACCCTGTCTCTAGATAAAATATTTTTAAAAACGGCTGGGGATGTGGCTCAATAGTTAAGTGCTCCCCCGGGTTCAATTCCTGGTACAAAAACAAAACAAAAATAAAAAATCTGGGAAAGTACACAGAATTGTTCTGAAGGTAACAATGGTAAAAATCACTTATAATCCTGTTCCTGGGAAAGCCTTCAAGGTCTGGTATATCTCCCCCAGTGTTGTTTAAGATTTTTGTTTTTACTTTGCTTTTATGTCACACTGGTTGATAATCTGCTTTTTTCCCCTAACACATCACAAGAATTTCCTAGGTATTACATAGTCTTCAAAAGTATTAAATATAACGGTTACTTTGTATGCCAACAAAGAATGAAATTATTACCATTTTTGGACACCTAGGTAGCTTCTAATTTTTCCCTTTGGTAAGCAATACTTCAAAAACCACCTCTGTAAATCATTTTTCATAGATATTTAGTTTATTTGATAAATTTCTAGAAGTAGAATAACTAAATTGAAGACAAATAATTTTTAAGGTTTTTGATATACATTGTAAAATAATTGCATGTCTTTTCACTTACAGTATTCTTATTATTGGGAAAAAATGATAAACAAATTCTCATTTAATTGGGAAAAAATAAGATTTCCTTGTTTTAACATGCATTTGATGGCTGGGAGATTGAACTGCCTGCTCACACTCCTCCCTCCCTCCCTTCCTTCCTGGCTCTGGATTTACATTCTCTATTCTTCTTCCAGGTGTACCAGTTTCATGTAGTGACAACATCTGGCTGAGAGACATGAGTAAGTCATTCTGACAACTATTTGTGGCACCTGGTGAGTCTCTCGACTTCTTGAGTAGGTCTCACTCTCTTCCTCTGTAAAAGGAAGGTGCTTAACTGGATAGTTCCAAGTTCAGTGCTGAGGTGTTGGGTTCTAAAGCCACGCCCAGCTCCTTTCATTCTGAGGAAGGTTTTAAAGGGCTATTTTCACATGGCAACCTGGCCAAGCAGCCAAAGGAAATAAGAATCATTTTGATAGTGTCATTAAGATTTCACTTGAAGCACGTGGGGAATTTCTTGGAGGAGGGAGACTTAATAACAAAATTTTAGAGTAACTTATTTTATGTGGTTTCCACTGGTTGAGATGAACACCAGTTACTCATGTTCTTGAGTATTACGGTTGCCCATGAGTTGGCATCAGAAGATATACACAAGAGAGACTTGGGTATCTGAAAAACCAGGGATGTGGAAATTCCCCAGCCAAGCAACAGGGTACACCTTTTTAAGTTCAATGCTGACTCTGTTACTGTTCAGGACAAAAATGTTCTTTAAGAGAGAAGAGCAAAGTTTAAGATGATCTTGATCTCCTGCAGGCTGTCCCTTTTCTTGTCGGAAAGCTAGGATCCAGCTCCCATGAACAAGAGCACAAGCTGTATGTGGCCATATATCACAGGAGGAAAATGCTTCTCAGTGTCTAAGTCACAGTCGGATGCTCTTCCTAAGGACTCCCCTCGGGAAGCTACATGAACAGAGTCCAGCTACTAGAGATTAGCAGCAAATTCTAACGGGGTTTCTGGGCACTTTTGAGGTCTTGAAAAAATCAAGCTACTTCTCAAAATGTACCACATGTGACAAGGTGTCACTAGAGCCCTAGAGGTTCCAGCTGTGAGAGTGTGTGTGTGTGTGTGTGTGTGTGTGCACCATAACAGACATATTGCATGGTAGTCAACAAATACAAATGGGATAGGTGACAAGTGACAGTCTTACTGGAATGAGTTCCTGCTCTCTGCTTGCATTTGTAGAAGGTACTCTCCTCTTCAGGTTTTTGATGAATAAACTGATCCTCGTTCCGTTGTCTCCTGTGTTTGGTGGCTTGAGTTGGCCAGCAGACTTCTGAAAGCACAGCAAAGCTGACTGCTCACAGCGTCCCTGAAAGAGAACCAATTTGCACAGACGTTAGGGAAGTCATCACAGTGCTGAGAGTGACTCTCCCGGCCTCTCCTTCCACCTGTACCAGCGTGTGTAGGGTCACACTTATCTCAACAGAGCAGGAAGGGCTGAGCGCAGCACCTCTGAATCGTTGGCCAGAGAAGACAGAGGTGCCTGGGTGTAAATTTCCCCTTGTGCTGGGAAGAAGGAACGGGTTCTGCCTTGCCGAGACAGGAGAGGAGAGCCTCCCTTTTCCATGGCTCTTTATTCTTAGTGCCACACCGAGGTACGTATTGAGGTCTGGCTGGTGGGAGGCAGGTGGCCAGGGAGAGCTCGTTGGTTTAAGAGCCCGGCTGCTCCATTATGAGGCTCCGAGTTGCTCTGTGGCTTTGGTAAATTACACTGCAGTCTGGTTTGCCAGCTGTCACTCTGGGAGATCCACAGAGCACCTCTCAGAGGTGGGCTGTAAGCAGCTTTCCACCCTGTGCAGCGATGGCCCCAGGTCTTGCTGAGAGGAGATGCACTTAGCACTGATGGTGCAGCCCACAGGTGAGTGACAGAGTGAAAGCCCACATTTGGGAAGGGAAGTGGGTTCCTATCTCTGAGGACACATTCGAAGATTCCGGTCCTTCCCAAGGCTAGGCATGGCTTTTCTAAAATCCTGTTCACATCCTCGGGTAAGTTAGGGTAGGATTCCAAACCAACAAACCAATCACACAGCCGAGAACAGTATTTGAGATTTGCCCAACCGATGGGAGCAGGACCATTCCTTAGAAGACAGAATAGGGCTAAGGACACAGCTCAGTGGCAGAGCACTTGCCTAGCAGTAGAGGCCCAGGGTCCATCACTAGCACCACAGGAAGGAAGGAAGGAGATAAAAGTAGTGTCTCCCACTATAGAACAAAGACTTGCCTTGCAAAATGACTAGGGAAGAAGCCAGAATCTTAACAATCAAACCAGAAAGGGAATGGAACTCCTTGGGAGAGCAACTCTTAAGTCCACTCCCCAGAGCACACGGATGCTGACCTAGGAAGGGCCTGTACCTGGGTCCCTTCTGTCCAGGCTACCTGTTTTCCTTTAGCCCGTGCATGCGATGCTGTTTCCCCCCAAATGCCACATCTTGGCCTTGCTCATGCACATGGAAGCCATGGCCTTCTATCCAGAAACCTCCAGAAAGAGGTGTGGGCAGTGCAGGACAGCATTCCCTGCCTCTGCTCAGGGCAGTCAGCTGGAAGCAGCCCGAGCCTGCTTTGCATTTTCCAGCCCATGTGTGCACCCCACATGGATGTTGATTAATAACATGCATCTCTAAGTCACAAACCCCCAGTTTCGCTTTGCATATGTGGCCACAAGCCGAGAACCTGCTTATCTGGTTTCCTCATACCAGGCCGGGTTGCCTTTCATCCGGCAAGGTGGTGTCCTTTCCAATTTTGCCAAAATGCTTATTTAATAGAAACTATTTATAAATGTTAATTATAGCACTTTTTTTTCCTTGAAAACCACATGTTCATGTTTGTTGAAGTTTTTTCTTTTCTCTTCTTTTTGACCACAACCGGCTTAACTTACTGGAAAAAAATAATATTCATATTTAAAGAGATAAATTTTCCAGCTGAAACTGAAAACACTAACTGCTTCATCCGTGTTGATCTGAGAAACCAGCATTTCTCACAGGGGCCTGTTTTGCTGAGTTAACATTTTCATTTGTATGTTGAAACCAAATTAGGTTCCAAAGAAGTACAGGGGCCCTACGGAACCAGTGCCCTGTGACAATATCACCAGGAATGATCAAGACCAATGGTCAAAACTTTTAACCCTAAGAAAGGCTTTCTGAGAGCCTCTGTCATTAGAAGAAGATGGTACATGGGTGCCAAGGCTGGTGCTGATGGGGCTGCATCTCCCAGCCCTCCCTGTCCACCTGTGTGGACAGTACTGTGTTCGCCTTGTGGTCCTGTCCCGCAAGAGCAGAGCTGTGCCTAGTCTAGACAGCTAACCGCTGGGTCTCACCTCAGGAGCACGCCAGAGCAGCCTCAGGAAGGAACAGAAATGAGAACCTGCCCTGCCACCTGCCCAGAGGTGTGCAGGCAGGGAGTGGACCTAGACCCAGGCAGCCTCGGTGCCCTGGCCTCAGGAGTCCTGGGCCAGCCCAAGTCCCTGTTCAGCACCTCTGGGGGCATCCCTGTGCTCTCCTTTGCTGGGCCTGGGTGACAGCAAAGTCCTGGGGAAGGTTTTGTTCCCTGGGCCATCGATACTGGAAAGCATGAGGAGCTCCCTGGGCCCACCTGGGTTTTGCAGACTAGAGGGAATCAAGGGAGTCAGAAGCAGGAGCAGAACCCACTCCTCTCAGGCCGGGAAGCAGTCAGGAGCTGCTTTTGGAAAAAAGCTCACTTTATTTTGCAATTGAATATTTGAAAGCATTTGCCTCCTCAGAGCCTACTTTTAGACTTATTAGGTTTTTTCTTCTTCTTCTTTTGCAAAGAAAGCCATGCTCATTTGTGGCAGGAAGCCTTGCTCCCTGGGAAGATCACCTCTGAGCCCCCCACAAATTGAGCTTGTATCAGGGTTTGCAACAGCAGCACCACAGACATCCTGGACCATTCTTGGCTGTCAGAGCTGTCTAATGCACTCCACTGAGCAGCGTCCTGTCCTCTAACTACCAGAGGCGGTGGCACCCTCCCTGCCAGCCCCAGTCCTTCCAACCCCAAATTTCTCTGGACAATGTCAAAGGTCCCTTGGGGGCAAAATCACCACTACTGGAGGACCCCTGGTTATTCGACTGAAGGAAGAAGGAGAGAGAGAGGGGCGAGAAACCTGGAGGGCCAGTTAGAGATCCTGGCTGAGCACTGTTACATAAATGCACATTTATGGCCTTATTTTTAGTAAACTTCTAAATTCTGTGACAGGCCCTGCTTTGGAGCTGGCCCTGAAAAACTTGGCCTCAACTCTCTTCTTCCTTCCTGAGCTTTTCAGCCAGTGAGCTTAAAGATCTCAGGTGCACACGACTCCCCTGTACCATAGAAAGCAGATTATCAGACAGCTCTGGTATTGCTGAGGCAAAACCCGCTCTTTTAGATGTAAGATATAAATGTCTTTCAGTGGAGCAGGGACAAGGAGGGAATGGAAGGTGCAGGACTAGGAGGTGTGGGTACGTGTGCATGTATGGAAACATCACCTTGATCCACTAATGTGTACAATGGATATGCACTAATAATCATAATGGAAAGATAAAAAATGAAAGTGGCTATGAAAAATTTACACTTTAGAAATATATAAAGGAATTACCCGTTGGATGAGTTTAAGTTAGAAAATGGGCTATTTTCCTATTTTGCAAGTTGAAGAGTGCAGCTAGGCAACTCTGGGAAGAACAGGAACCCTAGTCAAACAAGGTGCACAAGATGCTGAAAAACGCATCTTTTGATACTCAGGCACCTTGAATTAAGAAGTATTCCTAATTGTGCTACTTTCATTTTAGATGCTACTTAGTAGAAAAGGACCTAGTAAATATGAGAGTAGCTAGGTTCTGAGCTGGAGAGTGAATTTTAGAGGAAAGCAATAGTTGTGACTCATTCACTTTCTAAAGTTTTACACAGTCATTTACCATAACTGTTTTCTTTGCAATGCCTCTTGGTAAATCTGCCCCTTTGTAGTGTCCTAATTACTGGTAGCACTTTCATAGTTATCCTAATTTATGCAATTAAAGGTTGGTGACAATGAATGTCAGGTTTCCCAGATTGCATTTATGCGCTCAGGGTGCCAAGCCAGCAGACCACACTGAAGAGGTTACCGGGAAAAGACCAGTAGACACTGCTCTTGAACGAGCTGCCTGGCTCTTCTCCCTGGGACTCGGATTTGAAGGGCTGAAGAGATGGACTACGTTGTTGAAAATGGTCCTTTCGAAAGACCCCACCGAGGGCCAAGGTACGTGTGAATTATACTTCCTGGGAGGGCTGGGGCTTCCGCAGCGCTGTCCCTGTAATCTAATTCTTGCTATCTTTTTACTTTATTTCTAGTTTATTATTGGGGAGTTCCTCTCCTTCTGGGAGGAATTGTGTCTGTGTTCCCTAAATAAGACTACAGAGAAGACTGAAGAATCTCCATGCCCGAGGGCCCTGTTCCTTGTACAGAAGCTTTCTTTTCCAGTTTTATCATTCTGTCTTACAAAACTACTTAAGAGTACTCTTAGAGATACTTGAATATAGACATTTGTTTTATAAGAAGCATAATGTAGCAGTTTGTTGGTAAATCTATGACTATTGAATAAAATAGAAATAAGTATTTTGCCAGTTATTAAATGCCCAGATGCATTGAAATCAAGTGTGTTCCCAAATAACCATCATAATGCCTTTCTTATAGGATTAAAGACATATCACATATATTTTCAGAAATAAATTCAACAGGTCTTACCTTCACATCTTGCGGAGCTGGCAGAAGTTCAGGCTCCTAGAGAGAAAAAGAAATCAATTCCAATTGACACTTGTGAGTTGAAAGCCTGCTTGCACACTCCCTACAAATGCCCTTCCACGCTGCCGGGGTGCGTGGGCTCTTACCAAGTTATTCACATATTTTTTCAGCTGGTCAACTGTGTGTATAAGGTGGCGCATTCTAATCAGGAGGCGACGATCTTGCCCTGGGGAGCTTGAGTTATGGGCCACTGTCCCCAGAAGGATGACCATCAGACAGAGCAGCATCCTCTCCATGTGGCCAGGGTGGGTCCCCTCGGTGCAACAGGAGGGCAGGAGCCTTCTGCTCACTGGAGTGTGACTGGGGACAGGCTGTCAGGGAGCCTTTTATTCCCCCCCAGGGAGAGGCCCTCCCAGTGAGCCTGGAAATCTCTCTAGAATGGATGAATGTGAGTAACTCGATTTTCTTTTCCACTGGCTAGGTATACGTGTGCATGCAATAGTGCGTGGGGGCAGGGATCGCTGGAGTGAACGAAATGTGCCCCGTCTGCACCTTACACAGGAAAAAGACAGAAATGGGTGAATTCCAATGTTCAGCTTGAACCAAGAGAGTGTGTGCTAAGTGGCAGGTACTGTGATACTTCAAAGAGGTAAACAAAAACACTTTGATCTCTTTTCCTCTGCACCCCTGGCATCTGACCTGTCCCCTCTGACAGTCATAAGGGTACTTCAATAATGAGTAAAGTGGAGTGAGTACCTACTGGCAGGAATTTTTTTTAGGTAGACTCTGTCTTTGACTGAAATCACCCTGTATTCCATCATAAGGGGAGGAGGGAAGACTACCTTTTAGGAAATTTTAAATAAAGGGGGTGTTTTCCTAACTTGCCGGAATATTTTAGGTTTTTATCAGGTTTGAAGGGCTAAAAATAGAACTGGCTCCCAACTCTTCATTAAGCAACAGTAATGTTGGCTTCTGACATTTTATTTAGCAATCTGATTTATAAATACATGAGTGATTCTAATATTCTATAGAAAATGTATTCCCCCTGATCAAGATATCATTCTACCATTAAAATAAGCACCCACAGGGCCGGGGTTGTGGTTCAGTGGTAGAGCGCTCACCTGGTATGTGTGAGGCCCTGGGTGTGATCCTCAGCACCACATAAAAATAAATAAATAAAATAAAAAGGTACAAAAAAGGCACCCACAAATTCTTCTATTGTCCCTCTCTTCTCTATGATGCATCAGTTAAGTGAGTGACAGGTGCTGATACTCGGTCCTATCCAAGTCAAACAAGAGTTTAAACAGCGACATTGGCAGTGCTGAGAAATGGTGCTTTCTTGGAGGGCAGTGTCTGCCACTTCTGCTAGATGTTGTCACCTGTGGGTGTGAGCACACGATCCTAAYTGTGTCTGCGACCAGCAGAAAAGGTTGGCCAACCCCTCTCCTCTGCCTCTTGTCCCTGTGGCTCTACCCATTTGAGAAAGTTGACTATAATATTCTAGCCTAAGAGAGCCTTGCTCCACAGTCAGGTCGGTCTGAAAACTAACCCTGGGTATGGATGTTATTTATACTCCCATTGCTCATCTATGTTGTTACACACTTACTTGCAGCCATACTTTATTCTGGAATGTTATGTAACCAAGATAAATGGGAGTTTGTACTTCATTGGTTCTGGGGGTTGACTATGGATTTTTTTTTATTCTAGAATATCTAGAATATACAGGTTTGGTGTTACAATAGATGAAAACTTTTCCAACATGATCAGGAAGTTCTCCTCATAAACATCACACTCTGTAGGGGCTCTGGGAGAACTCACTAATCCATATAGACTCAGGATCACCTCAGGACCCCATGTCTGTGCAAGCCTTCCTCATCTGCCCACGGAGATGAGCGTCTCCACCAAGACTCTCCACCAGTGCCCCCCCTCAGTGCTAGACGCCCACCTCCTGGGACCTCCCCGCCTCTCTCCAGTCCCTAAACTAAGGTATCAGGGACCCCAGGGCCAGTCCAGAATTTTGACCCAAAACCCGAGGGTCAGAACTTCTGCAGTACTGCCTCCCACCAAGATGTCCTTGTCCTAACCCTGGGTACCAGTGAATGTGTCACTTTACATGACAAAAGGGATGCTGCTGTGATTAAGTCAAGACTCCCAGATGGGGAGGGCTTCATGGGCTGTCCCATGAGCCAAGGTGCTCACTGTGCTCACCGAAGGAAGGAAGGAAGGAAGGAAGGAGGGAAGGAAGGAAAGAGGGAAGGAAGGAAAGAGGGA